GTTAGCCAGCGCGAGGATTCGAGCCCAGGCAGAAAAAATGTAAAAAGTTGGTAAGCAAGCGCGCTACCAATCTATAACGCATCAAGCCTGTGGTCGACGCCTTGGCGGAGGGTTATAGATGGTGCCCGGCCAAGCCCCGACAACAGACGCGAACCGAGGAAATGGACCCGAAAACTAGAAAAAACTACGAACTCTAGGATGAGCTCTTCTAGAATTCCTTTATCGATCAGCACTTTTTGAAAATGGCATGTTGCCTCAGGATTTTGTTTCTCTATCGAACCAGCTAGGTCCCGTCCAGAAACTCCAAAAGCACCTAAAAGCGACTCCTTGTCAGTCCAACTCTCAGCTCTGGCTCGCTTTCGCTCGCTTCCTCTCTCTTTCTCTCTCTCTTTCTTTCTCTCTTTCTTTCTCACTCTATCTCTCTCTCTCTCGTTCTCTCTCTACTCTCTTTATCTCTTCCTCTCTCTCTTCTCTCTCTGGCTTTCCCTCTCGCTCACTCTCACTCTCTATCTCTAGAAAAATGGACTCCACCCTGCAAGGCCATCTCGTCCTCTTTAACGGCGGAATGGGCATCGGCCTCAATATCTCTCTTGCTCTATTTTATCATTACAGATCATGAGGTACGGTAGCTAGAGCAATCAGCAAAATTTATCGCTATCGTTTCAGGGGCCGTATGAACAGCTACGGACGGATGCTGGGGTTGGTCGCGTTCTACAACCTCTACTACAGCTGTGTGCACTGTGTCGTTGATGTGGTAAGTTAGAGAAGAGAGAGAGACAGAGAGAGAAAGAGAGAGAGAGAAGAGACAGAGAGAGAAAGAGAGGGAGAGAGATAAAATGAGGAGAGAGAAAACAATGAGAGATACAGAGGATATGTTAATTTCTAGGGCGTTCGAAGTGACGAGCGCGGCTTCATCATGTTCAGCAAGTCTCTGGCCGAGCTGGGTTGGTGGCCAGCTTATATCGCTATCATGGTTTATAATTATTGAATTTTATTTAAGCTTATTTTAGATCTATTGTGACTCATTCACAATGTCCCTCTCCCTGTTGACGATCCATTGCGTCTACCGCTACACGAAAATTACCGGGTAGGCCTTGGGCTAAGTATCACTTTTTGTTTGCCACCAAATTAGGGTTCAGAGTCCACATTACCACTTAGACGAGAGCGCGAGAGAGACAGGGAGGGGAGAGAAAGCTAGAGAGAGCGAGGGAAAACGGTGTAAAAATCAGGGAGAGAACGAGAGAAATTGTGAGAGAGCGAGAGCGCTGGAGAGATAGTGAGAAAGAGAGCCAGCGAGAGAGACAGAGATAGACAGAGTGACATCCTAATTTCAGAAAATTCCCACAGCTCTTCTCCAACCCCTGGTACCTCTTCGGTATTTTTGCTGCAAATGTGGCATTTGGACTGGCGTACTGTATCCTCTGTGACTACTCAATGCATGTAAGAACTACGAATAACACCTATGTCAGAATGACGACAGTTTGAAAGCTTCAAATTACCCAATTAACATATTGTAACTGTTTAGCCATCGAAGATGCGAGACGAGTACAGTCGCACCGGAAGGTGGCGACGATGTACCATGTGAGCACGGATGGGCTTGGATATATTAGACCGACGTATAGTGTGCGTTTTTGGGGTCGGAGTTCGAAAAGATGGGCAAGCTAGCGGGATTTTTGGGGAACGTAGACCGGCAGATATCATTGGAGGTGGGGGCAAGCTAGCAGAGATGATTAGAGGTGAAGGCAGGCTATCAGGGATCATTGGAGGTGAAGGTAGGCTAGTAGAGATCATTGGAGGTGAAGGCATGCTAACAGAGAGATCATATGGAGTTGAAAGTAGGCTAGCAGCGATCATTGGAGGTGAAGGCAGGCTAGCAGAGATCGTTTGAGGCGCAGGCAGGCTAGCAGAGATAATTGGAGGTGAAGGCAGGCTAGCAGAGATCATTGTAGGTGAAGGCAGGCTAGCAAAGATCATTGTAGGTGAACGCAGGCTAGCAGAGATCGTTTGAGGCGCAGGCAGGCTAGCAGAGGTTTTTTAGGAAGAGAGCAGGCTAGCAGGGAGCATTTGCGCGAGAATTAATAATTCTCTGGCTTCACAATCCCTTTAGTGTGGCCGAGATGCCGATGGAAAAGAGAAAATCATCTGGCGCACATTCCTGGGCTGCGCGGGCTGCGCGGGCTGTATGTTGATCCTCATCGTCCTGTACAACGGCGTCTGCATGTTCGGCTTCCAGGCTGTGGGTGTTTTCCGGAATACATTTTTGGCTTCCCAGTCCCCTTAGAACTTTCAGAAGCGTCCCGGCTACGGTAGAAAATCGTCATTTCCTTTTTGCTGATCTGCTTACAAGAATTACGATAGAAACCACTTGTTTTTCCGGTACCTCTTCGTCCGTAACTCGGTCATCAGCCCCCAATCGAAAAAGATGCAATTCCAGCTGCTTCGTTTATTATTTATACAGGTAGTTTAACCAGGTTGTAGTCTAAGATTCCGTCCTATACTTTTTACGGTTTTGAACGTGGTCAAAAGTACTAGAAATCAACGAAAAATTCGGTTTTTAAGGCAGTGGTGCCCTGATTTTCGAGTACATCCATGCGCCTTTGGGTTTTGGTGTGGATGGCTGAGTACGTGATATTCCTATAGACATTTATAGCCACTAAACTTCCAGAATTCTCGATCGTCACCAGGGAAACGTCATATTTCATCCCGATTTTCATCTCTGGCTACTCGCCCGCTGAGGCAATTTGCACGCTTATTGGGTTTCCGGTGAGAAGACGCTGAAATGGAGATTTCCCCAAAATTCTCTGCTAGCTTGCCTAATCCCCGAAGAAGCTAGTTAGCTACGCTACGCTGCTGTAGGCTACGCTTCCATTCCAGGCCCTATCGACGTCGAATCCTGCGATATCGCCCGAAAACCTCGCAAATCCACTCAAATTCGCTGCCGGCGGCATCGGATGCTACGAAAAACACCTCTATACACCCACTCGATCCACAGGCTTTGCATGATTAAACTCTAATCTTTAAGCGTGTTCTTTTGACTTTGAAAAATGTATTGAACTTCCGTGTCCAAAAGCTAATCTATTTCGTGACTACAACTTCTTACCTCAATTTCTTTTTTTAAAGTTTTTACCATTTTTTGGTCATAATTTTACTGAATAAATACTTGTTTTTTGGCTTATTTTCCATAGGTTTATATCGGAAATCAGCCCAAATGATGCACAGCAGTGATTTCTACAGACTATACTTTTTAAGAGTTTTCAATTCGATCAAAAAGACATTTTTAATTTTATAAAATTCGCTTCAAGCCACTCGAAAGATACACTGTGGAATTGCGAGTCGATCATCTCGCGCCATTTCGCGTCTTTTCAGAGGAGATGCTGCCATTTGATAAAAGTGGATGCAAAATGGCGACCCGTCGATGAGTCAGGGATGTTTTGGGAATGCCGGTGCCCCTAGGACCAATCGAATGGATCGGCAAATCGAGGAATTGATCAATCCAGTTCTTGCTCAAGGATTTGAACGGGGTAGTCGACTTAGTTTTTCAATCTAAAATTTTTTGATTTTTTTCTTTAGAAAAAGCGGTAAAAGTTTATCTCACCCCTCCCCACAGCAAGGGTCTCAAATTCTTCGGTATTTTCGCTATTTCCGTCGGGATTTTTGCAACGCCATTCGATAGAACGTCGAAAAATATAGAAAGAGTTTTAATTTGAGCCTGCAATAATATAAAATAAACAAGTTATAGGTTCTAATTTTGTCACCGCAAAAGTGAATGCTAGGTTCAAACCTGCTCTACAGGGTGTCCCAATAAAAGGTCACGCTGGCATTTTGCTATTTCAAATCCGATCGACCTGAAATTTTGCACAGAGGTGCGGAAGAGAATTCAAAATGTTCACAGAAACTTTCAGCCCGATCGGTACAGTAGTTTTCGAGTTATAGCAAAAATAAACTTTATTTTACGTTTTTAACCTGGATTCCGCCGGAATTGAGCCCTGGAATGTATGGAGAAAATGAAGCGCCGACCCTTTTTTATCCTAGGAATTTTTTATTTCGCAAAATTCGGGTCGAAAATAGGCTATTTAAGTATTTTTTAACAAGGGCTAACGACGCCAATGTTAAGAAGAATAAGCGATTTAGAGCCGGAAATTTATGTTAATTGATGCAAAGTCCAAAAAGATAGCCGAAAAAATGACGCTAAAGTGTGGGAAAAACAGTATTTTTACAATAACTCGAAAACTACTGTACCGATCGGGCTGAAAGTTTCTGTGAACATTTTGAATTCCCTTCCCGCACTTATGTGCAAAATTTCAAGTCCGGTCGGATTTGAACTAGCAAAATGCCAGCGTGACCTTTTTTATTGGGACACCCTGTACAGTTAATATATCACCAGGGTTGAAAAGCCGCTTCGCGACTTTTCAGCCCTGGCCCCATCTGATCCCCTGATATTCGTTACTTTGCATAGTTCTCTTGTTTTTGGACGACAAAAAATGAGAAACGCTACCTCTCTTCCCTTATATAGGCTCCCACAACATCCGGGGTATGCTATTGCTTCCTAACAAAAGGGTCACCGATTTTACAACAAAAACTTAATTTTAACGTCGAAAACAGCGACTTTTTGAAAATTTTATGAGTGTGCAGTCATCCCAAGGCTATTACGCACCTAATGACGTATAAAACATACTCCTAACTTCTCCCTCATTGAGATACTACTGGAACACGGTGACGGAAGTTGCATGCAAATGCACACACATACATACACACACAGGAACTATTTTTTTATATATAGTAGGATAGGATAGAACTTCATGCACCATGTAGGTAAATTTAGCTTTAGACAGCACCAATGCAAATCGACGACGTCTACGCCCCGGAAATCGTGTGGCCATTTCTGGAGTCGTTGACGCCGGAAGACATGGCAGAATTCACGCATCTTTACGTTACCGTCGACCCAAACGAACCGGACGCTGGCATGTAAGTTGCACAAATTGGCCGAATTGCAACGAAAAAAATCCCATCAAAAATCTTGTAAGCGCATGTGATTTGGAGGGTACCGTAGCCCGGCGTCTGCGCCACATTTTCGCATTTCACATTCATTTGCGCGCTTCCATTGCCAACAAAATTTATGAGGTCACAAATACCCTTTTTATCTTCAGACTTAACATTTCGTTGACCTTACAACTTAGAAAAATCCTCATCCGAACCCCAAGAGATGAAATTCCGGGATGGGCCAGCGTACACCAACCACTTCCCGGAAACCATCCCACCGCTCAGTAAGCCTTTTTGGCAAATTTTCGTATAAAAATCACTTCAGATTCGTGCGCGACAAAGATACGATCGAAGATGAAATTTGGGAATATTACCAGGAACATAAGGTACTTTTTCACGCGCCCGGAAATGCTAGTATCCGCCTGTTTTGGAAAGTTTTTGTAGTTTTAGAACCTTTTCAGTTGTTACGTTTGGCGAAGGTGAAAACCGTCTGGAAAAAACTTCCTCTATTTATATTAAAAATCGGATACTAAAGAAAAACTAAAAACTAAAAAGGAAAAGGGCCAAAAATTATTTTCCGGCCGAATACCCGGATATCCGAACCATCGAGGGCAACGGCGTTTCGGCAGAGCGTCAGGTCGACGTGGCTCTCCGCCATCATCATTTTCCCGGATCGCTATCGCGAATTTCATATTGAAAGACTGGCTGACGCGTTCCTCTACCTTGCCATTGGTTCTCTCGCTCATTTCAAGCTAAAAATGGATTTAGGCGTGAAGCGGGGCCCTCCGCCACCAGGGCATTCTCTCGTTCAGCTTCCGGCAATTCCCGGACGCATACGAGCGCGCTTGAAGGTATAAAGCTCTTAATCGCGTGAAAACTCGAGGCGAAATTACGTAAAATTAAAACGTTAAAGGTGACGCTGCGCGGAAATGCGTACCCCGACCTGATCAATGACATTTGCGACATCACAGCCGCTCGCGGAATGCCTATAAATTGGCTGAAAGTGAAGAGCGACATGGCCGTGTGAGTTTTATGACAAAGTTTACCAGGATGATGCCTAAAGCTTAAAATGCGTTAATTAAGGCTAGAAACGGCATAAAAAACTAAAAACAGAATTTAGGGTGCTGAATCGACGTCTACACGATCCCGCGATCGGCGCGGAGCCTTTCCGCAGCTTCAAACCGTATTTTGAGGGCAGCCCGAGGCACGGAAAGCCTTCCAACAACGCCTGGATGAAATGATCTAACTACATACATCTATGCCAAATCTTACCGAAATATACTTACTAAATAAAAGGTATGAGAAGACAAAAATTAGAAAACAATAAAACTCTTCATCACCTGTAATTACGCACAATAGAGCTGCAAGCTTCAAACAACAACAAAACGGTTCGTTGTGGTATTGCTTATAAAACTAAATATTGGCCTCTAATGCAGCTGATTTTGCTCGTAAAATACGCTCTGATACCTCAAATTACTTATTGTTTTCCATTACGCGTAGACCGTAATCCTATTACCCACCTAATTTTTATTGATATACAGAGTTTACTTACAAAATTACATTTGCCTGAAAGCCACACAACATTTGCTTCTTGCCGTGCAAAAGTACGATATTTTGTTTTTTCAATCACCGGCGCTTCCAAATGTCATTTATGACAGTTTGTAAATTAGTTTTCACGTTGCCAGTTATGGTTTTTATACTTTTCGCGCCTGCCATTGCAATTTCATGCATAATCACTTTCATGTGATGCTTTCTTTTTAAATTGTCTTTCTTTCTTCTTATTTTTTCTTTCTTCTTTTCTTCTACGTTTATATTATTCAATTTCAGGAAGAATGCGTATCGACGCCGTGTACGCGCCAGAAGTCGTCTGGTCTTTCCTGGGATCGATTTCGCTGCACGAGATGGCCCGACTGAAGCGCTTGTACATCACCGTGGATCCGAACAACCCAGATGCAGGGATGTGAGTTCATAAGATTTTCTTCATGCTATAACTTGCTTTTAGCAAATTGCTGTGCGAAAATGCGTGGCAGACGATGCCCGGATGGAACGAGGGAAAACAAGCCGCTGCCCGGACGCCATCCGACCGCAGAGTACGTGTCTTGGTAAAGCCAATTTTTTTCTGAACTTTTGTTTAAAAGGGGAAAACACTAGTTCGTAAAATTTCAGGTTTTAAGATGTTCTCATTTAGTTTTATAAGGTTCTGGCCAAAACGATATATAAAAACACTAAAAAAATGTATCTTATCTGATTTGGTGCCGGCAGTGGCTAACTTTAAAAAATTTGCCTTGCTCCCCAGCTAAAAAGGGGGAAAAAAGAAGCTTTCCACCATTTTTTTGAATGCCAATTTTGTTACAGGTTTGTTGCCGAGAAAGATGTGGTCGAAGAGGAAATTTGGCAATACTACGAGGATCACGAGGTACACTTACAGCTTATCGCGACAGGAAGGGGAATTTAGGAAGATTACCCTGATATCCACACGTTGTATGCGCACACCATCTCGGAGTAGCATCGGGTAAGAATTATAGAATTTTCCTTCATCCAATAATTTAGGCCACACCGACAACTCGGGCATGGTATTTTTCCATGAAGACGCACAACCCGAGTCAGAAGATGGCCTGTGCGTTGAAAAAAATTCGCTTACGGTCCGTATTTCCAGATACAAACATCGAGGCGCAACTTTAGGCGTCAGAAGCGGTGCCATTCGTCATCATGGCATCATTTCACTCAGCTACAATACGTATATCGACCGGGGCAGCCTGCAGGCGCGTATAAAGGTATAAGATTGCTATTAGAAACCCTTTCTCCGGCCCTATTTAGGTGAACCCGCGCGGCGGTGCATGCCCCGCCCTGATCAACGACTTCTATGAGGCTATCGCGAGTCGCGGATGGCACACCTGAGTGCGTGTGAAAACTGATGTGGCCGTGTGAGCTTTACTAACATTTTACGCAACTCGTTGCGTGTGAGCCAGACAATGTTCATTTTCCAGCAGCCTGAATCGCCGTCTGAACGGTCCGGAAAAGCCGATCTTCACCGGATTCGCGCCCATCTTCGAAGGTCACCCGGAGGAAAGACATTTCCAAGAGCGACTTGAAGACTTATTCTAGCGATTGAATTGTATTTACCACTTTCGAATGTTGTCCTTATTTGCTTGATAAATTTTGGTGCGGAAGGTAACATGAACTCTATTTTCGGTTAGCGCAACGCAACTATCGCAAACCCATGCAACTTGGAATCACAAGCCGAACATCTTGAAGTGACAATTTTCAGTACGACTGCCTGGCCCGCCCCGTAGGATGTTGTAGCTTGTACCCTTTTCAGATTTTTCTTACTTTTTCCTGCCTTTTAGCTTTTCGAATCAACCGTCCTTCAAAATTTGATTGATTATAATTTCTGTAGTGGCTTTTATGTTCCTGGTTGTTGTATTTTCTAGTTTTTCACGCATGCATGCCCTTACATTTCATGCATATTCACTTTCCCGTGGCCTTTTCCTTTTCAAAAACTTTTATTTGATTCAATTTCAGCAATAATGCGTATCGACGATGTTTATGCGCCGGAAGTCGTTTGGCGCTTTCTGGGCCAGCTTTCGGTGGACGAGATGAAACGGCTGGACCGCTTGTACATCACCGTGGACCCGAACGACCAGGAGGCGGGAATGTGGGTCTATATCAATTCCGCGGTGATATTTTGATTATAGCAAATTGTTCTGCCAAAATGCAGCGAAGACGCTGCCCGGGTGGGAACGAGGAAGACAAGCCGCTTCCGGGATCGCATCCCACGGCAAAGTACGTTTATTTCGCTGCTGCCTGTTTACCGGTGCGAGAAAAATTTTTCTTTTGCCCTCAGTTTTTGGATCTTAAAACGGTGTAAAAAAGCTATAAAGTGTTTTTTATTTCGTTATAGGGCTCTACCGTATTGGTGCCGACAAAAAAATTAGACCCAGCCAAACTGGAAGCACCTTTATCCGCTTTCCAAACATTTTCTCATGACAACTTTTTTTGAGGTTTGTCCTCGAGAAAGATGCCGTCGAAGAGGAAATTTGGGAATACTATGAGGAGCACAAGGTATTACAATTTATTTGTGCAATCCGCTCTTTTTAGGCTGCCTACCCAGATATTCGCACGAAGGAGGGGCAGCGCCGTTTCGGAGAAGCATCAGGTACTGCTATATTTTCGATTACTTTCCCTACAATTTAGGGCACGACGGCGCCGGCAATATCATATTCTTTATGTCCACACGGTTTGAAAATGGCGTTTTGCGGACAGCCGATGCGTTCCTTAACGTCGCTTTCGGTAATTCCATGATTCTGTTTCGATTCATTGCATTTAGGCTTGAAAAGCGGCGCCGTTCGTCATCATGGCATCATAGCGCTCAGCTACAATACATACTACGAACAAAACGGCAAGCTGAACATGCGTTTGAAGGTATAGCGGATTTTCAAAAATTCGGCAAAGCGCAACTTGCAGGTTCGCGTGCGCGGGTAGCGCTTACCCGGCCCTAATCAACGACCTCTGCAAGACCATCATGTATCGCCGATTGCGGGCCTGGGTGAAGGTGAAAAGCGACGTGGCCGTGTAGGTTTTTTTAGCTTGCGAAAAGGGTGCTATGGTCATACCTGATGCCGGATTTACATAGCGCCAAATTTCATAATGCCGACAGTTTTCGATGGTCACAAATTTTGGTTGTTAATTCAGGCTTATGTACATTTTTTTCCTGGCGGTCCCGTTTGGCCTAGTAAACAAATATAATGTGTTTTTAGATGTTTTTTTTAGCAAGTTTTAACTATACTTAGAGTAGCAAAACTTTCTAAAAAAGGTAGAAAAGTGTTTGAAAAAGGCGAAATTTGATCAGTTGGGTGTCGAAAAAATCAATTGCTCGAACTAAATTTGAGTTTTGAAGGAAAATTTGTAAAGTTATTATGCTTAGGAATGGTTAAAAACAACGTAGCAACGCACCCGCTATTCATAAAAATTCAGGCTTGAGCCAAGCAGTTGGGCTTTTCAAAAACGAAAGTTGGTCGCTGTGCAAATTCGGCATTATGGCGCTAAGCTGCTAATGAAATGTAGTCTTGTTTCTAAAAATGTTTCCTTTTCCAGCAGCCTGAGCCGCCGTCTCCATGATCCAGAAGCGCGTACGGATGGATCGGCGCAGCGCTTCATCCCCTTCGAGCACGTCTTTCAAGGTTGCCCGAACAGCAACGGTTTCCAACGTCGACTTGAAGAACAACTTATTTATTTTTTGAATTGCAGTTGCCAGTTGTTAAGGTTGTCCATTTTTGCTTGATACATATTCGTTTCGAAGCGTTGCACTTATTTACTTGATAAACGTTCATTTCGTAGATCACGGTGTCAGAACTTTCTAGAGAGCTTTTTTCGGCATTCGCATGAATGTTGACACTATTTAGCGCCCCATCATTCGCGCCATCGACGCATCGCAACACGTTGTTTTTGAGCAGCTGCGTGCTTTGCTGCTCGTAGATGGTGGGCGCCGATATTGTTGAGGTGTCTAGGTGGCCGGGAGATGGCTGAAGAAGGCCCGATTTTGAGGGAGGATATTTGTGGAGTGGTGACTGAGGTGAGACTGTCACATCAATGTGTCACTGGCCCCCTAAAAGCGTGCAGATAAAATCGCGCTGTTCGAAGGGTTCGAGAGTGCCCACCCTGGCGTGGCAGGGCCTTATAAAAGCCTGGGAATTATCTGATGGCCATTTTTGAAGAAGAGATTTTGGCTAAATTTCAAGCCTTGAATGTTCGATTTCGGGATTTAAGAACTTTCCAAAGCTTTTAAGAAGTTTAATATTATGTTGTTTTCGGTTCTTTCGCATTATCGTGGGGGGGACTTTTATATCGATTTTTCGGATATAAATAGGAAACTAGTTTTAAATATTTCTCAACGTTGATACTTTAAAAGTTTCATACTTGTAAAGTTGAAGATGAAGGTGAAAGTAGAGTTGAAACCTTACGAGTTTTGATGGAAATAAAAAATATATAGATTTTTCGACCAAATTAGCCGCTTTTCTGTACATTTTTTATTTTATTTATTTGTATTTGTATTTATTTAATTTTTTTTTGATTGGTATTTTTTACTTTACGACTTTGTATCGCCCAAAAAAGGTGCAACAATCTCAAGCCACCGCTGCGCTTCCCGATTTCGACTTTCCCTTTCACTGATAAGCCATTTTTGCAAGGCTTTCTGCAGGTTTTGCAATTTTTCTGGATATTTTTGCAATCATGCGTCCGTAAGGCGGCCCATTTCGTAGTGGTTCGCGTAATTTAGTGTTTTTGCAACTTTTGAAACAGATTTTTATGCATTTTTTGCTTGGTAAACCCGTAAAAATGACTTTTTGTTGTCCTAAACTCTTGTACAGCTTTACGAATCTCGAAAATCCCTTGATTTTCCCTGTAAATCCTACAAGGCCGATAAGCTAACCATTTGTCCAGGTAAAAGCGGCATGCTGGAGGACTTGGCGCTGAAATCTGGGTTGGCCCAAGTCGGCTTGGCCCTGTTTTCGTATCTTCAGATGGGCGGCGGGCTGTCGTTCGGGTTGAGCGGGTTGACGATCAACAATCATTGCCTCTACCTCACGCTCGGCCATTTCTTCACCGGAAGGGGTAAGTCTCAGGATCTTTCGCGTTATCGTGGGGGAGGGTCGGATTTTTCCACGGTTTTCAGGGAAAACCGACTTTTTCCTCAATATCGAAATTCTTAATCGAAATAGAGCAACTGTTTTTTTTGCGTATTACTAAGCTTAAAAATTACAAATTTTTCTAAAAAAATTTTCGACCTAAGGTTCGAATTTTTCAGTTTCCCATTTTTTTTTTGATAGTTGTCACTTTAAATCTAGTTAGATCTGTCTAAAAAACCATTAAGACACTTATTAAGTTCTCAAATATTCCTGAGCTTGTGAAAAACAAAGGCCAGCTGCATAACCCCCGATAACGCAAAAAGCACCGAGGTTCAAATGATAATATGGAATTTCTAGATATCTCAAACCTTCCGCTTAGTTTAAAAAAATATGCTGCTTTTATTGAGCCCAATTTTATGCGATATTTTCAGCAATCCTCGCCTTCCGAAAGGGAAAGGGCAAAGATGGGCATGCCTATTCTCACCTGATCGCTCTGCTGTTCGTCTACATGGCCTACCGAGCTCTGGAACAGGTAAATTACGTTAATATGTATAGTTTAGATTTAAAATTATCACGGAATTCGGTTATATTTGTTGCTCTAATTTAGACAAATAACCTCGCCGGGATGAGCGGCACGCTGATGATGTACCTCCAGGGTACTTATGCGCTACAAGTGAGTTTTACAGCTTTGAGAGAGAGAAAGCGAGAGAGAAAGAGAGAGAGAGAGAGAGAGAGAGAGAGAGAGAAAGAGCGAGAGAGAGAGAGGGAGAGAGAGAGAGTAAGAGCAAGATTTGCAGCTTTTCGCCTCCGCTGCCATCATTTACCTTCCCGGCATCCCCCGATCTCTCATCCACCAATTCATCCCGCTTCACAAACTTGGCGGCACGGCCGTTTGGCTTCTACACTCGATTCAGGTATGACATCATACTTTAACCAACTAATGGAAGTGACACCTTGAAAACGATGGAGAAATCTAGCCTAAAAACCATAAAAGTCGTTCTAAAAATAATTTACAGGTCCTGTACACGCACTACATTCACGGCGGACATGTCGGAAAGTAGGTTTCATTAATGAAAAAATACAAGACTAAAACTATTAAAGCTATTAAATTTATACATGCAAGCTCTTTTACGTAAACTGCGATACTATACGCAATTTAAAATTAGCAGAATATCTTAAATGACCTAAAATTTCTTGAGTTTAATTTTTTCGATTCAGAAACGGCCTTCAGCATCTATTTAACTGCATAAAATGAACTATAGAAAAACGAAGAATAGAGAAAAGCTCTAAGTATTCCTTTTTCCAGTCTGGGCTGCTGGCTGACGTGCGGCCACCTCTACGAGTACACCTACCACGGTACGCTCGTCGCCACCGCTATCGCCTCCTTCGCCGTCCTCTACACGATCACCGCCAAGCGACGATACAATACGCACAGTGATTAGGTGCCGATAAAGCATTAATGGATGGTAGATGATTATCAGGACCTTTTTAGCGTTCTTTTAATGACCACCCGCACGCAATTTCCCTGTGTTTTGTAGTATTTTGCACCATACTCAGCATAACCAATAGCATACCAGTAAAATAAAAATCTAGTTTTTCGATTTCCTGGCGTGATCGTTCATCCTGATTCGGGATGTGCGCCGATCCCCGCGCCACGTGCAATGTTGGGCTGACGCTGTCCGGCGAGAGGCAAGCCCCTAAAAACCGAACCATTTCCAAAAAATATGTTAATCTCGTTGTACACAATAGTGTACGTATCGGAGATTAAGCCGATAAGAACATTTACTAAACAATTGATCATAGCCAGAGGCCAGAAGCGATACCTATGGTGTGACACTAGGTACCAACGCAGGCAGAGGGGCCAGGTGGGGGACGAGTGGGGGAGCGCAGAGTAGAGAGCAAACACCCCTTCTATCTCTCCTTCCCTTCGTCCCACAGGGCTGTAAAATATACCAAAAAGCCTCGTCTTTTCTGTAATTAAGGATACGCTAAATTTTGTACAGAAATTTTAGCGGAAACTCAACATAATGGAGGTAGAAAAGTCGAAATCTCGACCGGGGCTAAGCTAGAAAATAGCCAAAATCCGAATCCAGAGTACTATTTTGTTGCCATGTACACAAATTTACGCGATTAATCACAAGACAATGTATTAGCAAAATTAAGCTTTAATCCCGGTGGATGATCAATTGCCGTCACGCAGCCACCCGGCCACCGTCAGCTCCTTCTGCTTCGAGCTTCTTGCCGAGCACCTTGATGGGGTAGCAGTCAATGTCGTACGGGCGGTCCTCGAGCAGGTAGAACTTGTTTTCTGGAAATGGAACATTTGGTTAGCTAGCAGAGATTCTTAGAGAATCATCGTCAGAGGGCTGAGCGCCAGCAGAAATCTTTGTAGAATCAGAGTCTAAGGCAAACTGCCAGAGAATTATATTGAAATTGGAGCTAGGGTAGTCGAGCAGAGACCCATAGGGAATCCAGGCCCACCTCTGAATGGCTTGAAGCACCCGTGGCACGTCAGACATCCATGGTGCCAATGGTCGCCGAGGGCCTTCCACGCGTGCGCACCCACCGGCTTCTTGCAGCCTCTGCAAGTTACCCTAGCGCTACGATAACGTATTCCTACCGGCACACGGCGGCGTCGTGTCGTCGAGGTGGCGGTCGATGCAGATCGGCCGCTGGTCGGTGGTTGTTCTAAAATGGAGTCTCTATCTCTCTTCCTCTTACCTTCTCGTCCTCGCGCTCGCTATCCCCTCTCTCGCGCTCGCTATATCTCTTCACTTCCTGCTCTCTCTCTATCTCAATATCTTCCTTGCGCTCACTCTCCTCTTCTCATTTTGTAGGCACATCTACAATCCGAAACTACAAACTCCACAGATTACTGTCACGACCAAAGTATTGCCTCATATTACCTCCACTAATACCCTCGAACGCAAAGATCTTGACGTGGCATTTATGCACTTGATGCAGTCGCAAAGCCAGAAGTTGTCCATCGTAATGAATGATGCGAGAGGCGCCTCGAGATGGCTGAAAACGAGAGAATTGAGGGAGCGAGAGAGCGAGAAAGAGAGCGAGAGAGAGAAAGGGAGCCAGAGAGAGAGAGAGAAAGAGAGAGAGAGAGAGAGAGAGAGAGAGCGCGAGAGAGATACGCACATCGACGTCTTCGTGACGCAGCGCGCTTCGAGCACCCGGCGCAGTGGTAGACGAGGAAGGTGCGGTCGCGGTTGGCGAATTGTGACTCTTCCTGAAAATTGGGTGATAGAGCGAGAGAAAGAGAGCGAGAGAGAGAGAGAGAGAGCAAGAGAGAGTAATTCTGACGCACGTAGACTTTCTGGTAGAAGGTGCTGCGCGCTTGTCCCCGAGGCAACG